TCAGACAGTTACCTCAACAATAAAAGCTTTCTTTTCTGCTTCTGTTTCAATAGCCTTAACAGCAACAATGAACTTGTTTCTAAACATTGCTTTGGATACAACCCCAAAGGCGCCTCTTCCTACAGTCTAAAAAATAATGTACAAGGCAAAGAACAGATTTTGACAGCCTAAAGGTATAGTATCACAAGAATTCTCTAAGGTCTGGGTAAACTATGCAAGATTCTCAAATTTGAATAAAATACACTGTAAAGAGGACCAAGTGGTGTAACATAGAAATTCCAAGGAGTAGGGTATCACAAAGAACCCTAAGAAAGAAAATTTGTCAGGGATGGGGAGATCTTAAAAGAAAAAACCTCTAAATGGGATATAGATAGCGTGCAGAGGCGATGTTTTTTTTTTTATTACAGAAATCTCAGAGGTACATTGATCGCTGCTGTCATCTTGAAAGCAGTTAATAAAAACTGAGGGAGGTGGGGCATCAACTGCTCCCATGCAATTATTTTCCGATTCGCCTCAACTCTCTGTCAGTTTCATTGTCCAAGATGGCGGGAGAGCATTCGTCCAAAAAAAGTACATGTAACATCGTTGGCACTACAAATCCATATAGGATATGGACAGTTTCCAGGACCACAAAATGAAACCTCTACAATTTTCAAAAATAAAATAAATTTTTGCACATTAATTTGGACTTTTTTATGTACATTTTAACAAAATGCAATTTCCCGCATTTAAGTCTAAAGGAACTGCAAAATTGCAAATCTTAAATTATTGCCATGAGATGAAAATAAAAACAAAAAAGGGCTTTTGAATTCAATAATAATTATTATCCCTCTTCTTCTAATATAATGTACACCACCTCCAAAGGAATTATTGACATTATTGGAAATCTGGGCATCTTTGACCTTCGAAATCCAGTCGAGACGAGGTGCATTGATCTAGCAGTATTAGAAATCTGGAGAGTTGGTGGGAGGGGGCATGACTCAAAACCCTGCCATCCATTTAGTACAGGATGTGAATTTTTTCTGCACAGAATACAACAATGCCTGAGAAAACAGTTGACATTTTACGACCACACCACTGGTTTCCCTCTGAAATGACTTCTGAGCAAAGACTTCAGAAATTCCATACTGATGACGCATCACTACCCAGATCTGGCTAGTGCTTCTGATTGGTTGAAGCAAATTTCTCGCGTAGTAGAATCAATCAGTAGCCCATCCCAGATCTGAGTATTGACACGTCATCAGTATGGAATTTCTTCAAACGTTTCGTGGGGAAACAGCGGCAAAGTCACAAAATGTCAGCTGTTTCCTCAGGCTATGCAAAGCATCTACGTCTACATTTACATTCATAACTTGCAAGATCCTGAATAAGGACATTTGGCATGCGCATACACATGTAAGTTTGGGGTTTCATTGAGAAGTAATGTATGGCAGAAAAGGCAGCATTGGGTAAGATTTCCATACAGCCCCACACAGTACAATGCATGCAGTAATTTCAAACTATTTCACCAAATTACTGAATAGAGTCAAAACATGTATGCATTATAAATGTATGGGGCTGTACAGAAATCTCACCTAGTATTGTGTTTTAATGAGATGTACATGCCCTATAATGAAGGTATCGTTTTTATTTTTCGCCTGAATGAAAACCCAGTAAGCTGAAATGCTGTAAAACAATAATTATGTTTGATTTCGTGAAACTATCAAAATATGTCTCTGAACCGTGATTAAGTCACTTAAGAATTAAATAAGTTTTACAAATTTGCGACAAATAAGCTACATAACAGGAAGTTCTCTATGTGTATCAGTATGTACCTCGATATACTCCAATTCAGAACTATCGATCTCCTCCACAAACCCTGGTGGTGAATCTGGCTGCAAATCTTCTTCCTCCATTTCAGATTGTTTTTCCGTCCTCTATCAAGGGGCAAGCTTCGATTATCAACGAACAAAGTCCACTGTTACTGGCGTTTATCCTTCAGAGCTCAATCGATTAGAGTTTTCTACACCGTAGGTCCGAAAGATCTGACGTTCCAGGGAAACTCCCTCTCACACTTCCGCTCGCGTGGTTTCACAACATTGACTGGAGCTTAAAACTGTCTCCGAAAAGTTCAGAATTAAAGATTCACGACTATGATCACCTTTCTAGAGGTTTCAGTATCTCTGTAATCGCAGTCAACTCAATATAATGTCGTTTTCCAGTAAGGAAAACAGAAAGTACTCCTCATGTGACCGCTGCCATGTTTGTTTGAATCAAAGCCAATACATATCCCGTGATACAATGCAAAATAAGCGCGTCAAAGAGCATGCTCAAATCAGTTTTTCAACGGACGCCTTGACACTTCGGTAATACAGTTATTTCTCCTCGAGAATTTTGTTTTTCGATATATAACTAGGTAAGTCTAAAACACAGAGGTATATAGAGGTGGAAAGAAAAAATTAGAAGGACATTTAGGCAGAACGTGTGGTCGAATTCGGCTAATTTATTGTTCGATGTGTTGACACATTGTCGACCCCAGGTGCTTCTGTCAATTTTTTTTCTTGCCTCAACCCACCAATGTGTACTTTGGTTTGTATATTTCTGGTTAATTAAGCCACAAGTGATGTTTTATTTCGTTGTGGAGTTTTTTGGTTGAAGGTACAAGGAGAAAAATATCTTCAATTCAGTTGATTTAGTAATCTTGTCACTTTAAATATATTTCATGTTGTTTTTATGTCTCAGAAACACTCCTCTCTCCACTGCCAGCTGTAGATATAATTGTCGTTATCAAGGTTGACGTTTAGAATTAAAATTGGGGTTCCATTACTAAACTTTCATTCTGAGGGTCATTGCTCTTAATATCCACCACCACCACCAGCCCTCACCCAAATTGATGAAATGTTTTTGGTGGCACCGATTCAGAAAATTCTTTCCTATCGTAGACCCCTTCAGAAATTAATGTTTATTCTTAGGGGCTGCTTACATGGAGGAAGGAAGATCGAAGCACCAGGAAAATCCTACAAGGAGGATCATCCTCGCACCATATTTTTTCTGTATTCTGTTTACATGCAAAAAGTTGTACCTATCCCTAGCACTAGGGTCTTCCTAGATGAGAGGCAGGAAGATCCTAGTACTAGGGACAAACCAGACAAAAATGGCAGCTAGTCGTTTAGTGGGTTAACTTTAATATTTAATTTCTTCTCTACTGTTAACCACGTGGACCAAAATTTCTGCATGTGAACCCAACAAAAAGTTGTTCCACCTTCTAGGATCTTCCTGTTGGTAGGATCTTCCTCCCTCCATGTAAACAGCCCGTTAGAAGCCCTCAGGAAAAAGCCCTGAGACTGGCTTCTTTTACATCTTCATCATCTAAGATCTGTAAAACAGTGTTTTCAAAATCAGCCGTCGGCCGTCGCATCCGACGGCATTTTTTTAATTTGCGACGCCTACTTTCCCTTAGGTAAATTATATGACAAATAAAACCTTTGATAAAAAGTGGTAAGTGTTCACAAAGCTGTTGCGAGCAAGCAAACTTGAAATTTTTCTGGAGAATTTCGCCAAAACATCTTGAGTCTGCTTTTAAAATACGTTCTCTGCGTAATACGTTGAGTAAACGTTAAGGACGAGTCGAAGACTGGGTCTCAGTTACAGGGAACATTGTAGTTAAGGGTTTCTGAAGCGACTCTATATAAAACGCCACATTTCGTCTCCAAGAACACGGCAAAATGGCAAAAAAGCGACAGCGTGGTTTACGGGAGATGTGGTCGCTGACAGTGACAAACAAGAAAAAAAAAAAAGGATGCTGCAGGTAATAATGTGGTTAAAGCATACCCTAATATTGTGGTTAATAAAGTTACTAAAAGCATCAAAATTTATCAGTATTTTCGATATCTAAAATTTGCTAGTTCTGCGTCTCAAAATGCGGGAAAATGCGTCTCCAAGAGTCTAGGAATTCAAAATTTCCTGGGGGGGCATGCCCCCAGACCCCCCTAGAGAGCAAGGCCCTCCGGGCCTTGCAACTCCTACTCAAATAAACGCAACTCCTACTTCAAAAACTGTTGAAAACCCTG